CCCGTTTTTGCTCATATCTCGGAGGCAAAATGAGCAAGAACGCTCATTTGTACATCATTCTAGACAGAAATAAATGGCCTTTTTAGAAAGTGAAACATGGATGGGGAATAGGCATAGGCACTGTTCCTATGCTAGGTTGTTGAGGCGGATTGATTTTTTCAGAAACTGTGCTCGAGCACTATTTATCAATCTGTAATAAAAGACGTGAGGAAATTCTGTCTTTTTTAAAGACAAACATTTTTGAGGCGAAATACCCAACAAACAGTTTCTGAAAAAATAAAAGGTTAATATAGAAATTGAAATAGTGAATATATATTTTTACAGCGCCATCCAACCGGCCAGCCGGGCAGAACATAAGAAATTCGTCCAGACTGGCCATAAACCGCCTTGAGTTATTTATGACGAAACACACACGTGACACACCTACCTGGCAAAGCTTCCGTCTGGATCCAAAGCGTCTTTACGACCGACAAACCCGAGCGAACAGGGCAAATCCAAATGAACCCTTTCTGAGGATTTCCAACTTGCGACTGGTCCGCAACTCACCTGCCTGCCGCTGTCACTCACTATTCTCGCCTGTTTGTCAGCATTCGAAAAATCCGGTTTAAATGTTGTTTGTTCGGAAGTGAAAAAGCCAATCCAAGCAATCCAGGGCGCTGCTGATGGATAAAACCAAATCGTCGCCGCTGGTCAAAGCCAATCAGCACCCGAAGCCGGTCAGCGTCTTCTACGTTTGGTACACTGAGCTGTGTCGTCGGCTCAACATCAATCCGGCACCAGCCGTGAAGCCGGCCAAGCCCAAGTGCCAGACGGTGTTGGATTTTGTGGCCGATCGGCTGAAGATCGAAGAATGGACGCCCGTGTTGAACGCCTTGCGCCAAGACACCAGTCTTCACGTGGTGGCGGTTCGGAGCAGGATCGGAAACTGCCAGTTTCTCCACGACGTGGACACGGAGGAAAAGGCCCGGAGCGCCAAGCGGAAGTACGGAACCATTTGGACGGCGTACGTTCTGAAGCAGCTGCTCAGATCCATCTCAATCTCTCTCAGAAGCACTCAGGTACCCACTGCTTACTGCCCCTTTGCAGAACCCCCTCTACCCACTGGCTTGTGCAGGTGCTGACCTATCTAGAGCTGGATGGTCTTCCCCTGTTCTTGCAGTACCTGGAACCGCTCCTGCAGGCCCTGAAGCGCAACCAGACCTTAAAAACCTTGTCGTTTTCCAACTGCTCCATCCAGGACGCAGGCTGCCAGCTCGTCTGCTCCTACCTGCGTTTCACGCCCAACATCGAAGTGCTCAACCTGTCTGGGTGCCATTTGAGCCCAGTAAGCGGCGAGCATCTGGCGAAGCTCATCAAGTACCAGCAGATCAACAGGTACTGCGAAAGTTGGCACAGCTCATTGCGCTACGAGAATCCAGATGCTGGCAAAATGCGCGGCATCAAGCGAATCTCCATCAACTGCAACCCGTACTTTGGCGATGCCGGCTTGAACTTCGTCTTGGACGAGCTGGAGGATGACCTGTGGATCAAGGCTCTGGACATGCAGAAGTGCGGGTTGACTGAAAATGTGGCCGCACGCGTTCTGGACATTGTCCAGTACAATAAAACGCTGGAAATTGTCGATCTGCGCCAAAACGAGCTTCTCGGCATGGCCACCGTGGAAAAGGTCCTTCAGCTGCTGAAGCAGCGCCAGCAGTTTGGGATGCAGACGGAGTTTCAATGGTGCGCCACTGCGGTCTCCCTCACCTGGTCCTCCGTTCACTCTGCGACCTCATTTGGCACCTCCGCCCGCAACGTGCACAAGACCAAGTCAGCGCCCATGAGATCCTCGCCCTCCAAAGTCAGCACAGTCACTTGGGATCCGAGTGTGCGCAAAACGAAAACAGTGGATGCCATCCAGAAAAACCCGTCCAACTTCCTCAGCTTGAACGACACGAAGAAGCAGGTGCTGGCGCTGAACGAGAAGCTGCAGAAGGAGATCCAGAAGCGCAAGGAGATGGAGAAGCGGAACGAGGAGCTGCAGAACCAGTTGAACCAAATGAAAACCAACAATGTGGTCAAGGTGGTTAAGACTCGGGTGCCGCTGAACGGGGTGCATCAGAAGCCCCTAGCTGTGCGAAGAAAGGAGGCAAAGAAGCCGGATCACGCGCAGACCAATCAACCGAAAGTGGTAAAGAACGGCTACCATTTGAACGGGGTGAAGAACAACGGCAAAACTGTCTACGACATGCTGGAGAAGCTGCTCAGCGCTGGACAGCCTCTGGAAGAAGACGTGGAGGACCAACTGCTCAGCTACTTTGCCGCTGATCAGAAACCTTCCAAGCCGAAAGCTTCTCCACCAGACTCGTTGTCCAACAGCCATGTGTCGCTCTACAAGTACATGGAGGAGCTGAAGACGCAGAAGACGTAGCGATTTGGCCATGGGCAGTAACGGTTAAGAACTTAAAATGGTTTTGCTTCATTTACCCAATGAACTTACGGTAGGATCGATGTAGATTAAAGAGAATCTCTCTAGCTGCTTGAGTTTTGTCACGTTCGTGCTGGCGTTTCCCCAGCACACCGATGTGCATCTTCAGAGGTGGAGCCGAGTGTTTCGTCAAGTTTTTGAAACTGGTGAGATTCTGGGGCCTCATTTTCCAATTTTGTGCGATCACTTCCGACTGCAAAGAGTGGGTTTTCCATGAGCAAATTGCCGTGTTTTTAATTTTTGCTCGGTATAAAGCAGGCAAAATCCGTTTATTCGGTAACCAACTAAAATACTTGGACTAATTCGCAAAAGGAAAAACGTGATTTTTTCCCAGTTTTCGGCAGTTTTGGCCCTCATTGTTTCCAGCGTCAAATTTTGGTAGCAAAATAAAGAATCTCGAGATGGTAAAAGGCGCTTGGTTATTGTTAGGGGAGGCCCCGGTCCGCTGATATCCAGTCATTCATTAACGATTCCGCAAGAGAAGTTTGATTAAAAATGCTTTTAATTTTTGCATTTTGCGGTCGCATTTAAATTTTTAAGGGGCGCCCGTGCTAAGCAGACGTGCTGATGTTATTAATTTCGCTTTAAAGAGCAGAAAGTGAGAAAGGGGCCTAAGTTGACGACGGCTAATTTCGATTAGTATTCAAGGAAACATTACGGGACCCATGCAAATTTTTATTCCAAAGGAAAAGCCGCAGAGCTGAGAGAAACAGTGGCGCATAAATTTCTACAACGTCTTGATCTCGATCCGAAGACAAACACATGGATGAAACTCGCATGAATCACGCCAATATCTGGATTGCCATTTTGCGCACCTGGACCGGCTTGGGCCTGCAAATATCCCGATATGGGGAAATTGAAATTTTACATGAGACTGGGTTTTATTTGTTTTTTAATAAATCGGACACATGTGGTTTTTATATGCCGGATTAGGCCTGCGGGTTTATCATTCTATTACGGCGCCTCCTTAAAATGCCGAGTATCGGGCAGAAACGTTGCAGATTTCCGGAAAACGCCCGCCTCGACGTTTACAAGACGGCTTATTGGATTTTTTACTGCGATTGTCCACAGTTTCCAGCTTTATATGCCACATGCGACAACAGTGCGCCGCCTGGGAATTTTGAACTGGCACCGCCGCGGTTGACCAGTTTTTTGCGCCAATGGAAGCGTTTTTAACACACTGAGATGTTAATAAATCTGATAAACTTCAAGACTGTGCTGTGGCAAAATAAAGCCGTAAAAAGTTAAACGAGTTTTCACACCAGCGAACGTGTCACTCACGCAAACTAATAAAATTTGTTTCCTGCCTGGGCTTTTTTATTCCTGGCCTCCCTAGGGAATACATGCGTGACCTCGTCTTAAGGCGTAATTCCGGGGGTTGGCTGGCAACATGTTTCCAGCCAGAACAAGCCCCAAATCAGCCTGTTAAGGGACTGTTTTTTTTTCTTTTTTTATTGCCGTTTTTGGAACTCATCATGCAACCTTGCTGTGGGCGGAACTGAAATTAGAAAAATTATCGTCGTTTTGCGCAAGGGTGGCGTAAGATTATTGCAAATTTCATGTTTTCCGTCCCGTTTTGCAAGTTTCTCGGAAGCAAAATGAGCAACAACGCTCGTTTTTACATCATTCCAAAGAGAACTAAATGGCCTTTTTAGAAAGTGAACCATCGATAAGGAAATGTTGGCAGTTTTCTCAAAAAATG